TGTTCGACTCCATTGGTCAAAAGTGTCCTCCTGTTCGGGTGTGAGGCCTGGAGAATGACCAAGACACTCACGAACCGACTGCAGGTATTTGTAAATAAGTGCTTGAGGTCGATACTCCGCATATTCTGGCCAGTCACTATCTGTAATAAATACCTTTGGATTAAATGCGACCAAAATCCCATCGTGCAAGACATTGCTCATCGGAAATGGCGTTGGATAGGACACACTCTACGGCGCAGCGGAGTCAACGCAGCATCAATCGCGTTTGAGTGGCAACCACTCGGCAGGAGAAGACCTGGTCGCCCTGTACACCCTTGGTGACGCACCACCACTTGGTGGCAATGTGACCTAGAGTGATGTCAAGGAGCAAGCGCAAGATAGGGTAAACTGGAGACAACTTGTGAGGGCCCTATGTACCAGCGGGGTACCCTAGTACTACAACAATAACAGTATTTGGACAAGATTCCTATCGGGGGCTATCTGTGTATCCCAGCTCTTATTCCTATCTCGATTCTTTAGATTCAATGGTCCGAAACGGAGTAAATAGCACTTGGAGAGTGCGATCGTGAGAGGCCGATTACTTCTCCACTTGCAGAAGTGGAGCTTCTCTGGCCGCGACGCTCGGTTCCTAATCGTGCGACGGCGACACAGTTTCACCCCTCTCATGGATCCTCTAGTGCAGATACTCCCCGAAGCGACCATGCTCGATTAACCCCTGCACCAGGAAACGAGGTAGGGGTAGCGATTAAAGCCCCTGAAAACCAAGCAAGTTCGGAGGCCGGTCGAGGGATAAATTAGGCATCTGGGCCATGCTTCCAGTAGGGACCACTAAGGTTGGGCCTTTCGGGCTCATGTGACACTACGAAGGGGATTCACTATGCCCTGGTCACTCATCACTTAAAGGAAAGTGTGCAGTAATCTCGAATCAGTTGTGATGGTCTGCTGCGGCTGCTGCAGCAGCTTCACCCCTCTCTCTATAAGAGACTAGCCCCACACGGGAGCTCCGTTCAGAGCTATTGCAACATGAGTACCCGAAACTCTTAAATATCACAACGTGAATGCTGTCCGTATTTAAATGAATGTTTAAATCTCCATCACGAAACTAAGTCATTAAAACTTTCGAGCACATTGCCAAATTATTCAGTAACTTGCGAAGATACCCTTACCTAGTACTTACCTACCTACCTACTACTAATACAGAGTAGACATCTTGGGTGGTTCGAGTTATTTATTATCACGGCTTGTTATTAGAAATGGAAAAATTTTTTGGGATTCGGTTACAGTAGTACGTGCTACAAGACAATTTATTATAAGGTCGTTAATAAATTAAATACATTCAATTTTGACTATTTAAAATTGAAAGACATTCTTTATTCGTCTCATAAAATACAACTGTAACAAGTTGTGTGAATTGTCGTAACAAAATGTAATATTAAAATACTACTATTTCTTATCAGTTTTATCAAATATAAATTTGTACAGAGATTCATTTTGATAGTATCCGCCGGCATAAACTGGGTATGGAGCTGATAAAAGCATTGAATATTTCATTAGAGAAGTGGTACTAAAGTAAGCTTCAATCAAAGCTATCCGCTCCGATAGGTCCTCTAGAACGTCCCCTATCGAGATTGAAAATTTAATTGTAGCGCCCAATCAAGTGAGCTCGTTGTACGATATGAAATTGTTGGGCCCACTCGAAAATCGATTGACTCACAACGATGTCCTCCAGCCATAAAAGTATGACATATTAATATTGCATCATATGTGCTCGGGCCAGATTATGTTATCATATTACGGACATGATAGTGCCCTTAGCATTAGTCGCAATAAATGTGTTTAAAGGAGAAAAGCCGTTTTATAGGTTGTAATCTCGGCACCACTTGAACTAGCTTATGTAGTCGTTTAGTCTGATTTGACGGTGTGTGACAGTTTTATGATCTATAACTTTTTATTAACTTGATAGCCAGAGAAGGAAACGCATTGGTTTACGTGAGGTAGCTTAGGCTATTGGATTGTCTTGAACGTAAAATATTTATTTCTATGAAGCCTTATGCTAACAGATATTAAAGAGTTTATATGGCTAGCGCGTGGCAAATGTATAATATATTTTATTCTAAATTAAATACGGAAGGTAATACTTCACGTAAAATATATTAATCCGGTAATATTATCTTAGTTTTAAAAGTATGAACTAATCACATCGCTTAGTTTTCTAATACAATTCTTTACGTAATAACGTATAAGAACGTGAACTGCAGATATACTTCCTTGGTTCTTTTGAAGACTTTAATTTTTCTTGTAGTGAAAGACACAAGCGGGTGTTAAAGTTTTAAAATGTTTTTTTCGTTTTCTTGAAAAGTTTTCATCTTTTTCCGTATCCATGACTTTGGAGCAAAAATAGGATTTGATAGTGGCTTACGAATGCATTTATACTATATATTTGTAGATTCGTTTGGTTTATTCTCTTCGTTCAAAATTAAAAAAGTTTGCTTCTATTAAGCTGTATTATATACACAAATACATAATACTACTACATAGCCTTTCACACTGGCGGTAGGACCTCTTGTGAGTCCGCCCGGGTAGGTACCACCACCCTGCCTATTTCTGCCGCGAAGCAGTAATGCGTTTCGATTTGGAGGGCGGGACAGCCGTTGTACCTATACTAAGACCTTAGAACTAATATCTTAAGGTGGGTGGCGAATTTGCGTTGTAGATGTCTATGGGCTCCAGTAACCACTTCACACTAGGTGGGCTGTGAGCTCGTCTCTATCTATTTACGAAAATAGATACGATATCTAAGCAATAAATAAATAAAAACTGGCATACTTTACCCACAAAATAGGGATTTGTCAATTGCCATACGAATCTGAATGTTTATTAACTGTGTGCGTTCTGTTTTTTTATTGCCAATTAGCGAAGCCCGGCTACGCTCCACTGTGACTGTCGCTGAATGTATAAAACACACTGACAAGTGTGTACTTGTCGAAACTATTCGCTCCAGTAAGTTGTCGGTACTAGGAAAAAAGTATTTCCTGGAATAGCAGCAACCACTATAGTTTTCAGTTAACAAGGTAAGCTAGTCTCTCGAAAATATTATATTCAACATAATCAAAATATTATTATTCAACATAATCAAGGGATGGCGGGTCGTAAGCCCAATTTTTTCAATATCGTTATTCTTACACTCAATTATTTTGATGACTCTATTTAGATTTCATAGTACGAGTATTACATCATAATATTCAATATGCACTGGAAAACGTGTCGGTACGAAAATTAGTTTCAGGGAAATCAATCGAAATATAACATTAATTCACATTGTAATGTAACACATAGATTCCACTTTACAAAAGGCGGCCGTTCAGCTTTATAAGAATATAATATATAATAATATAAATAAAATTGTTCTGAAACGACAGGGCAGCGGGTACATTATCTAGCCATTGTTTCTGTATTCCTATTCACCAAGCTGATCCATATTTGACAACGCAGGAAGACAACTTTTTACACCATTTACCGAACTTTTGCTGCACTGCTGGATTTTGTGGAGCTTCGAACTCAAAAAACCGAATATTTTCGGAAGCTCGCAAGTTGCTAGTATGTCTTTTGGATTGCAGTGCATGACAAATCGTTCACAGTAAAGGCGTAACGGATTACGCGTTTAATATTATAGAAAAAAATAATTACCCTGAAATCCAATAAAACCGATACGGAATGGTTTAATATCTCTGAAAGCTACACATTAAATTGAGCACGTTCGTTTTATAGTCGTATTAGTGAGAGACCATCTGAGTTCCTGAGTAATAAAACCAGCCACCCCATCTCATAAAATACACTTAAAGAATCTAATTAATTCTAAGCAATTAATTGCGACAAAGCCACACTGACCTCTTTTAATTTTTGTTAAGGAAAGAAATATTTCCTGTGTCAGTTTAAATGAAATTAAGGATATACTTCCAGCGCTGAACCCCTAGAGTTTTATTCACTTTTCGAAACAATTTTCTTCATTATGGTTCGTTACCAAATTTAAAATTTATGAGTTTAATAATATTTTTTGCTAACTTTCGCTTTCGAGTTTCAATTGAAATACAAGAATGAAAAGAATTCATTGATTACCTGAGATGAGAAAATAGCTATAAAAATTGAGAATCGTTTTTTTTTTCTTCATTAGTCTATCTTGTGCAGGCAAGAACAAAAGACAAAAAGGATATTTCGATGAGTTTGCTGTCCTAGTGATGGCAAAGAGTTTCTTGGATTACGCAAAATGATTTGGGTGAACTTAACTTTGATTCCGAAAATGGAGCAGATATTTAGCAGTTGATTAAAATATAATAATTTCTTATATTATTTTAAAAATTATATTCATTTAATTATTCTTAAAATTATATTGTGTTCACAAATTGCCATGGGATGTCAGAAAAATTTACAGTAAAAACGGTTATTATTCCTATATAAATCAGAAGCGATAGGTATCTGACAAATTAATTTAAATCAGTTTTACATAGCTGCACAGTAGGTATAATACGACCAAATAAAATCTAAGCAATGCTATGAAGCAAATTATAGATATTTAAAAAAAAAACATCTGCAAAAGTTCTCTGAGCTCGTTTCAAAACGTGTATTTTCATTTCTCAGCAATGTAGTGTTACTGTGAAATGACTTCGAGGGGTTACCGGTGTGTTCACATCGAGGGGTCTGTTACCCTTAGCATACTCGCTCTAGGCGAGTGACGACGGCGGGGGGTGGGGGAAGTGGAAACAATGCGCTTGCTCATGGCGAGAACTCCAACAAGGAATCGTTTAACTTTAAAAATAGAAATGCTTTAAAGCAATTTAAGTTGTGTTACTTTTTTTAAATAACATTCCTTGACAACGTAATATAACATATGCCAATCAAATTAAAAAAAAAAAAACTTCGAATCATAACTTTATACTGACAGCACGTTGGGCAAATAAAACGCCAACCTATTTAAGTAGTTTATTAACAAGTATTTGTACAGTTGTGAGTGTGGGCGCATTGAGCACATCCACAGTAGGAGTAGTCTTGTACCTGAGCTACGTTTAAATGAACGTCGCGCGTCGCGTTGATTGAAGAAATCTGGTGTCGCGTAAATATGTGACGTCGTGATTGTTTGTAAGTTGAAGTATTAATAATGCAGGCGTACAATGCATGTTTTACGCATTGAGCTCCATTCGTGCTGAGCACGGGACCCCTGCCGGCCTACAGTATCCGTGGACGCGCTAATCGCTTAGTCACGGCGCACGTTGCCGCCGACTCGCACCACGCCATCTGTGATAAAACTTACTTATTCTTATTTGTTCTGATAAGTGATGTGATATATTATCTGTGATCATGGGTTTTTTAGACGGTATATCTTTTTCTGTGTTCAAAAAGTGTCCCAATCTCAAACTTAAAAGGAGCAACAGAACACGCAAAAGGTATGGATCTGAGACGTGTATAATTTCTTTTTTGTAATTAGTAATGTTAGTTATAAAATAATGCAATAATATATTTGCCTGAATTATATTTTTATATAGTAATAATATAAATATTATTTACCGTTAACATTTAAGTGTGTTAAAGATAGATTAAATAAAAACTTTAAAATCTTTAAAAAAACACACATTCTATTCAACTTTAATTCATGCAAAATGCTGAGTCGAACGTAATCGCTAATAAGCCATCTGGTCTTGATAACGCCGATAACATGATATTTATAATGAGATAAGAAAAAAGAAATGAGACAAATCCTTCAAATGCGGGTATCGATATCAACGATCCCTTGGCGAAGGAATTAAGTCACCGTATCATCATAACAATAAATTTATATATAGAAGTATACCTACTATTTATTGATGTTGGTATAAGTCGTCACTATGTTCTATTTCGTTATGTAATTTTTTATATGATAAATATTGTATTTTTATTATTCGGAATGAGGCTTTCAGTAAACACCGAAGTTTACTGTTTTATGTTGAATTCGTTTTTAATGTAGTTTTAATGACATAATGGTCCGGGCACTCAGAAGTTCAGAAATAAACGTTGAATTTTTTAATTTATTTTTTTAGTGCCTGCCTATTGATAGTAACCTTGAGGGATTAGGCTAGTTTTACCGAAAAGGTAGGCAAAGTCACGGGGCTCAGCCTGAAAAACTTTGCTAATATCTGTCCTGGCAAGAGCAGCGCTTCGCTGAATCTACCATCTGATCGGAATCACGACCCACTGAGAAGATCTGGCGAGTAACCCGTTGGGCTGTGTCTGTGGGTTAAGTTCATGATGAACGGTTATCGTTGCTTAAAACGCCTAAAAACACCGATAGTAGATCGGGAGGTTCCGAAATGACACGTGTCGTTAATGATATTATCGTCTTATTGCATAAAACAAATTAAAAAAAAAGTAAGGTATTTAAAAAAAAATGAAATTCAAATGACATTCGCTATTTGTATTATTTGTTTATCATTTTTGTATAAAAAATACTGTGGAATGGTTTTCCGATTATTAAAAAAATAATTAATATTTATATAATTACATTCCAATGAACATTTTAAAAATGAAGTAATCCAGCCATGTCATGATTATTAGTTTATCGAAGATTTCTGCTGGCTCTGCAATAATCCAAATAAATATCAGCTTGAAATAATGTAGTTTTGCTGTTATGCTGATTATTTATTAAGACATTAATAAAAAAGTACTCAAATAAGTAGCGATATTATGTCCAGTAAAGGACATCTTCCTTTTTGACAATCATTTAGAAGGTTGCGGTGAGAACTCTCAGATGCTGCTTTATATTTTTATAAAATAGTAAATTTTCAAACTGCTCGTTATTTTTACACGACAATGATGATACATTTACGAAATAACGAAGTATTAAATAAATCATGTTCTATCACAAACAAATCTCGCTCGAGGAGAAATGTTGTTAAAATAAATGTCACGTATTTTATCTGCCATCGTAAAACATCAGCTATTTGTCCGTTTGTAATATTTGAAATGTATTGGAATTTTAAATATTTTCATCGGCATCATCCTACTTTATAATAAATTGACGTAAACAACAACTAAAATATCGAACGAAATTATTAATCATTAATTTTCAATATGTTCAATAATCGACTTTTTAGAACAAAAACTAATCTTAGTAATGTCAGTGTGTAGATAGATGGTCACGCATATAATGATCTCTTTAACAAACAATTTATCTAGGAAGGAATACAGCACTGATACATTGCACGTGTTAATTATCAATCTTCTATTTTGTACATTTAGTAATATGGTACAATATTACAATGTGCATTGTACGGTACATGAACAAATGTACATAAATGTATAAAGTACTCTGGTAATTTCATTTATACACTCCCACGAAGCTGCCACGGTACGGAGCGGCGGTATTGTTCCATGACGGCAGTGAAACGGTTCGATGATTTTACTCGGTAAATGTCAACTTTAACTGCAACACGAATTCTCGACTGGCACAAGGTCGGATCTGCTTTTTATTTAAATATTCAATTTGATGAGTTACAATAATGAATAATCATCTTTATGTCTCCAATGCTAAGAATAGTTTTTATAAAAACAAAGCCAGAAATAGAAAAGTGTCTTCTTTGTTTTATCTTAGCGTTGTCATTGCCTGTAACTCGCCCTTTCGAGCCATAATGAGATTTACTGGGAATCAAGAGCTGCGAACAATTTGATTTGCGTTGAGCAAGATATGATTCCAAACAACTTTTACCAGAATACGTGGATTTAATTTTCAATACCCCTTGAGTGTACTTTTGTAGGTACCTACAGCAAGGTCAGGTCAGGTGAAGGTCAGCCGCTCACCTTGAGACATGAGGCTGAAGTCTCAATTAAATCAGCACTGCTAGTACTAAAGGTTCTGATTATTTTATTTAAAAAAATCGAATACGAAATAGAAGAAAATAAATAAATATAGTTAACACTTGAATAAACAATGCGAATAACAATAGAACTCTGAACAAAACTGAAAATAACTTATGTTTTTCATATTACATACTCATTTGAATTTTCTGATCCATGAACGAAAACAATTACGAAATAAACGAAATTAATATTATGTTATTTTTACAAAACCCGAACTTTATAAAGTTTACAAATACATAATATTACTACAAAAAATTTTGAAAAATGTTACTTAATTTTAAAATATACATAATACATGTTTTTGTTTTGTTGGGTTAGGTATCCAACGTCTGCATTTTAAGAAATAACATGAATCACAATATATTCGTTCGTGATTTAACGTATAATGAATGTCAAACTAGCTACATAATGTTTTATTAAAAATTTATTTCGTAAATGTGTAAATTAACTTATGACCCATCTGGTGTTAGGTAATAACCAGCCCCTGTAGGAATAAAACACGAATCCCTAACTTGATACACGATACAAGGTCAACGTTTCAATTTTATGATGAGATAATTTATTCATTACACAACAGATAAGAAGGCATGAATGTATGCAGTATAAATAGACATACTTGTGGTTATTTTGAGTCAGGAACGCCTATGCGTTGGGCACAGTAGGCGGGGCATGTTGAAATTGTACCGAAACCGCGTGTTGCTCAACAACCTGCACTCAAGCCATAGATGAGGTAGAACACAACTGAAGCAATCGAGACGCTAAAGTGACGTGTTTCGCGCAGGGAATACCCCCATCTGCCATTAACCCTCATGGGACACCGCGATCTTAGCCCTTTCAACCCAAGCCCTTTTTGATACCTACCTGTCATCTTTCAGTGTCACATGCTAATAGAATTATTGTATTTTAATATTTCACAAAATACCTAACTGAGTGACGTCAATTTTCCATATTTAGGACCTTTATGGCAGTGTACAGTCGGACTTCAATAGAATTGCTCAATAACTTTAGTGTGAAACAAGCATGAAATGCATTTTCAAAAGTGAAAGGTTATTGTAGTATTTAAAACAGGTCAATGTCGAAGCAGCATGAGTCTTTTTCGTTACAGAGTATAGTACTGAATATTCTTCAAGTTTTTTTTTTAATGCTTAGATGGGTGGGCGAGCTCACAGCCCGCCTAGTGTTAAATGGTTACTGGAGCCCATAGACTCTATATGGGCTCCAGTTATAGGGCTATAGTTACAACGGCTGCCCCACCCTTCAAACCGAAACGCATTACTGCTTCACGGCGGAGTGGTGGTACCTACCCGCGCGGACTCAATAGGTCGTACCACCAGTAATTATGCAAATTAAAATTTGTGGGTTTGATTTTTATTCCTTCCTCCGGGTTGTTCCTTCACTCTGGAAGTCAATCGAGAACATTTGTTGAGTACGTATTTCATTAGAAAAATTGGTACCCGCTTGGGATATGAACACTAGTGCATCGCTCAACACGAATGCACCGGACGACTTATCCTTTAGGCCCCGACGACTTCAAAGTGCATACATATTATTATGTACATTTGTTTTGAACTAACCTAACTACGTTTCCATTTTAATAAGACTAATTATTTATTGTAAAGTCCTAGTAACCCAATAGAGCATAAATTTAAACAGAATTGTTACTTAAAAATGACCTACTACAGTATTCTACTACTCAGATAAATCTCAGATTCTCAGTATTCAGGCTGCTCGTTTCAAACTATTCAGACTATAAGCTAACAAATTTGATAACTCATTTTATTTGGGTTAAATTCTATTAAACTAATTTATCAAAGTTGATGAAATTCATTAGGGTTTAAAATGTTAATGTTTTCTTAATGGATTCGGCTAATACACTCTCAGCCTCTGAACTATGTATGACCCTGTGCATAGTATCGGCCTGCTAAGTTTCTTGCATAGTGTCAGCGTAAAGCTGTTAGGCCTTAGAAGGCGCTCGAGTGGTTGTTAACAAATGCTCCTTCTCCGGACTGAACCCATGAGCTTGCTACCTCATCCTTGTCAATCTAGTAAGACCTCGTGCTACCAGTCCCTCGACCAAAAAAATGAACAATTTTGCGGTCACTTTTGTGATGTCTAGGGGTCTATAGATATATAGATAATCTNGCATAGTGTCAGCGTAAAGCTGTTAGGCCTTAGAAGGCGCTCGAGTGGTTGTTAACAAATGCTCCTTCTCCGGACTGAACCCATGAGCTTGCTACCTCATCCTTGTCAATCTAGTAAGACCTCGTGCTACCAGTCCCTCGACCAAAAAAATGAACAATTTTGCGGTCACTTTTGTGATGTCTAGGGGTCTATAGATATACAGATAATCTATACGTTCCGTTTCCACTTAACACAAGGTATATAGTCTACCTATCTAGTTCAATAACAATAACGAGATTCAAAATAAATTATTTAAATTTCAAGCGATACTTTAATATCAGAAAAATGTTATAATTGGATTCAAACAGATGTTATTTTGCAATCCGTTATTCTAGCAGCTGCGAAACTACAAGAGGTAGTCTATTGTCTAAATTGAACTCTTATAAAG